TGCCACAGTTAACTGTCGCGTCTTCAATTTTCATTGTAATATCAAGCAACTATAACATTATATGCAAATCATATAAAAAGCGCTCAAAAGTAGTAAAATATTGTCTTCGCTAATATTTTTATCGAAGGATGGTTTTCTACTCCACCGAGAAGGACAATATACAAAACATTTATTTAGAATCATCTATATTCAATGACAAAGTCTCACTTGAAGCTTATTAAATTGTCCATATTAACTAAATTTGAAAAATAATTCCGTTCCAAGGGCGTTATTTCAAGTAAAAGCCTGGTTCTTATTTCACCTCTTAAAAATAAATAAATATTGACATAAGACATCAAACGAAGTACAGCTTTCAATAACAGCTTTAGGAAAGGTTGGCTAGTGAAAACAAGGAAGTTCTGCCTTCACATTCAATGTATTTGCTTCATGGGCGTCAAGGCGTTCGCAGAGGAAGCAGACATAGCTACAACTTCAACAAAAGGGCGTGTCTAATTAGGCTTTGTTTACAAATGTTTTAGAAAAGATAATTTTATGAACCACAAAGCCATAGAAATGTTTGCTTACTAGGAAATAGAATAGGACTCTGTTGTCAAGCTTTTTGAAAAAAATATCATCAAAAATCATATAGATACAAGATTTAGTTTCATCATGATTTTCTTTTGCATCAAGAACGGCTATAAAGGAAATATGTCTGTAATTAAAGTTTGTAGATTATTTCTCTACAACAAAACTAATCAAAACTAAACAATTTAAATTCCCATCGCAAAACATAAATCCCACATAACTTATGTTGTATATGTATTGTAAACAAAGGCCACAAGTTCAATTAAAGTATGAGAATTCAGAAATTTTTCTTTATTATTTTTAAAGTTGAGAACTATTTTATCCAGTGGTTAATATCCCGGTAACAGGCAAAACAATGAAAGCATATTCAAGAAGATGAAAGGAAATTCTGAATAGCAGAATCTGGAAAATTGGAAGTCATGCGGCCGAGGAACTTTGCGATGGATACTGGAAAAAAATTTTAATTTTCGTTGTCCCACCCTGACCCCGCCCTTTTTTTATTGTTTTCCAAGGAACGTTTTCAAAGATGACTGATTGGCCTTAGGAATGATCGGTGGGTGTATCACTCTTTCTAAACAGCGTAAGAGATTTATTAGAACAATATAATTTGTTGGTATTTCCAGGGGATTTTTCTCGAGACAAAAGGTTTGCTAGAGGCGTACAAGATTTTCGTGGAGTGTTATGCCCCTTCGGAAATGATAATCACCTTTCTGTTCTCTGCTTAATGACACTTCTACGTTGTAAAGAATTCTTAAAGCCAAATTTCAGTATGGTTACCAGAGCCTCAATTTTGTTAGCTGAAAAAAAAACAAGGAGTGAAAAACAAAAGTAGATAGTGGTTTATTTTGGTCTTTTCGGTTCCCGGGCAGCCAAGATTGTCATACACGCCTATAGTCTATTCGTTTTAATATTCTATATCTGAATTAAGTCAATATTTGACATTTGTCTTTAGATGAAGATAAAACATTGAAGAGTGAGCATAAAGCATTAAAAATATGACGAGACTTAGTTATCGTAGATAGCGAAAAATCGAACATAAATTCTAAGGCAAATGAATATCCAATAGATTGACCTCATCCCCTCCAAATTATCAGATTGAGAGCTTTGATTTTTCATATAAATTAGTCCTACGCAGTCGATATTTATGTGAAAAATGCAAGGGTTATTTTATTAATTGTGACCACATGGCGTCGAACGCGATCTACTCTATGCTTATTCCTTTGAAGGCATACCGCCGCCAATTTGCCTCTCCATAAGCTAATCTGTATTAAATGACCATTGCAGTATTTTTAAGCAAGGAACTTTGCTAGAAACCTACAATTGAAATTAGGAGACAGGATATATGTTTTCTTATTGAAATACAATTGCCGACTGTCTATTAAAAGTGAATATGTGAGAAATGACCGATGGTTATTGGCCTCGTGTCGGCTTTAGCCTCATTAAGTTGGACGTCACGAAATGCACTAATAAATACGTTGATTTCATTATCCGGCAATGCCAAAACAAAGACTTTGTGAAGAGACGATGCTTCTTAGCAAATGGCGAGAACGCTCTGATTAATGTGGCAAAATGGAAATGAATAGCAATCGTTGGGGTTTTTTGTAGCTTACTACAAACTGGGGATGTTCTCCCTTGATTTTACCTAAACGCACTCCCTTCACATTAGATGTTTTCGTTTGCATTTGAAGTTCAAAATAGATAAGATAAATTTAGATTGATAGATTCAGTTTCGAAATAGAGTTCTTAATTGAAGACGTCATAAAAATGCACTTTTAGATTTCTAAATTTCGATCCCATAACCTAAAAGAGCATAATAAGATGCTTAAATGCAAAAGTTCAAATTTAGTTGAATTTGTTAGAAATTGGCAAAGAAACGGCCGCATTAGCACGGGCCCTTTCAAATGGGTAAAGATTTATGGAGTTATTGCTTTAGTCCAGTTTTTATTTCTAGATTCGATAATGCTTGAACTAACAATGCATGAATCAAAGAGTACCTACATTGGAATTGTAATATAACAAGTGGACTAAGAAGAATATAAAATAAAACATTTTGAAAGAATAACTGTGTAGAGACATGGCTTAAAGAAGGATTTCTCTAAATAGGTAAGGTAATCTAGTAGAGAGTGCCCCCTATTCTCTCTCCACAATTGCATCTTTTTATGAAAACACAAATTCTTGTCAGAAGTTTATGACAAAGAATCTTATTTGAAAATTATTAAAATTTGGCTGTAAGTGATACCCCTTAAGTGACGCCGTCACAAAAGTCTTATACTAGAAATTTTGAATTTTGTTCCCATAACCTGAAAGAGCACCATGAATTACCCCTAAGAATCAGTTAAAGCTGTTAAGAATTGGCAGAGATATGGCCAGATGAGCACAGGCTCTTGCCCCATCAAACCCTTTGTAATTTGGCCTCTTTTATAACTTCAAATCTTCAAATCTTTCAATGGTCTTATCTCACTCGATTTATAACATACTTCAACTGATAATGCCTATTCAGGAGTTCTTCATGCTTTTCATTAGGTTATGTGGTCAAAAGCCAAGAATTCTAAAGATGTGAATTCTAAATTCCAAAGAAGGATTTTTTTGTGATGTCGCTCTTAAAAAACTCTAAAGATTTGAGAAATGTAAGATTGATAGACAAATGTTAAAAAGAGGCCATGAAAGGGCTCAATAGGACCCCGTCGCTGATTTCAACTCTCCCGTTTGGCACGATATTTTTCATCATTATTTCCAGTGGTGGACTAAGTGACCTCGCATTTTCCATAAAAGCTGCCGTGGTGACTTTAGATCTATCGCAGTCTTGTCAAAATTTCTACAAATAAGCTCCCGTGTTTTAACTTAATGTTAAAACCTTTCTCAAGGTTAAGATCTCTCTAGCATCATTTAAGGGTATAGTGCTTATCCAGTTGCAACTTTAGTTAATAATTAAGAAGATATGGAAGGTTGTGTTGATTTTTCACATACTTTTGCTTCGAGAGTCTGCATTTGATAATATCTCAATAGTGAAGAGTTTTAAGCCTTGGCAGAGAATCAACAAGAGAAATACTTTCGATAAGACAACCCGGTTTAATTTAAATATTCTTGTTTGGGACCCGCGTAATGCCAGTAGAGACAAGCTGGCACGTGTAAAATAGAAGTGCTCGGAATTAGGTGTAAGACAGAAACTTAAAGTTATCATTCTTAAGCGATGCAGCAATAAATCACTTAGTTCCTGATACAAAGAAAAGTGTCTCTTGCAAGAAATAGAAAGGCTGTTACAAAACACTTATGCTAGCTATAGTAGAAAACCGTGCTTGTGCTTTTCATCAACAGGTAAAGCGACCATTTTTACAAGCCCTAAAGATTTATCCAATTATATTCATTTTTAGCTGAACATTTGCGTATGTTACTGCCCGCGTCAAGTAGGCTACATCGATTTAAAGTTGTTTTTTGTTGTTGCTGTTGTTGTTGCTGCTGCTGTTGTTGTTGTCGCTAATGCTGTTGTGGGTAGTTTTTCTGTTTCTGTTATTTGTGAATCTTTGTGGTTCAAATACACACAGGTAGAAGAAAGAAGAAATATTTCCTTAAATGTCTTGTTAATTTTAAGTATCGCAAGCCTTGAGTAAGACAGACCTAGTAATAGCGCATAAGTTGTATCGAGTTTACATGAAGTAAGCAAATAAAGTTGACATATGTTTTCAATGTAGCTAGGACTAAAGTTTAAGAGTTGATTTCTAATAGAAACTGTGGCAGGATACTTCAATGCATTGGTTTATATCCGTAAACCATCGTTAAGACTCTTTTACCTAAACTGTAAACTCTTGTTACATTTTTAATTCATGGTTCTCTACAATACCCTTGCTGATTTTGAATTTTCTTAGTTTAAGAATCTAATAAGATATTAAAATTGATGATAGCACATTTTCTCAAATGTAATCTCAAAAAACCTTTTCGATTACACATTTTCCTCTGCAAAGTGATTTTACTGCTATTGATATAAAAAACTGAGAGGAGTTGCGTTAACACGTGACCAAGCATTAATACGATATTAATCGTTTCCATTCAAAGAAATAGATGAAAAATTATCATCAATAAACTATTTCCCTCATAGTCGATGCCGGGGAATCAGGCAATAGATTCGTGACAGTGGGTTGCAACCTGTTACTTAGGACACTACAATAGTCAAATTTGCATCGATTACCAGGGAAAGTGAAATTGATAGACTAGTTGTTTCGTTTGTAAGTCAATTTACAGAACACAGACTACCACCTATAGCTATTTTCAATTCGATTTCCGTGCGACATTGAAATGGAGAACAAGAAGCGACAACGAGGCTCTGCACGAGTCTATTAGGGGATTACAGAAAAAACAAGAGAACTGGACACAACCTTGTGACTTCCATACTGCAAGTATCAAAATGAACAGGCACGGCGCTTGCCCAGAGTCTACTTTATTTTACCGGTAGAATGCATTGTTTTCGAAGGACCTATGAGCGACGACATGCAAAATGCTGGCTCCGTCTAGCCGGGATTCGCATGAATAATTAAGTGCGCGGCGCTGTGATACCGAAATTCGTCGAACGACAGATGGCACAGGGATCACAGAGGACAGATAAAAGACCTGCTTTCTCATAATTCGTGTGGATTCAGTCGTGGGAATAAGCAAGAGAGCAACGTAGTTGAATAACGTGCAGACAGATTTACAGTTGCTAAAGGGGTTGCTTCTTCGAGTGAAATAAGGTACTGACGGAGAAAGAAGCTGAAGTACTTGTGATTCAACGCATAGAAACGAAGGTATGTTGACGATCTTTTCGAGCAATTTTAGTCTGGTTTGGTGACTTCTACCGGCTAACTGGGAATTTCTTATTTTTTTCACTGATAGATCACAATATCCAGGCTGCACTTCAGTATAATATATAACTAACAGTGCAAGCCAAAGCTTTTTTACTTTTCACCAAGCGAAAACAAAATTTTCTCCAAGGCATAAAAATGCAAATTTTTGAATTTTTTTCTTTAGTTTCTTTGATCTTGGATCAAATCTTTTCTAATTGATAGAATAGAGGTGTCCTTGACATTCTTGTAACTCACCAAAAACTACAACAGCAATTGCCTCTGTCGATTGAGCACGAAAAGCTATATGCAGTCGTTATCTGCAGGTTCTAGGTACACAGTACTACCATGCTTTTCAATGTAACGATCAGAATGTATTCATTGCTTAAAAATATAAACTCTTGAATTGCAAACCTCGTTATGATGCATATACTGGACTTCACGGAGCCTAGCATTGTTGTTTTCGGCAAATGATCTGGAAGAAAAACCACAGAAGCTAATATTTTTTACAACTTTGGAAAAGAAAAATATCTAGGAACATTAGATTAGTCAAATATTCATGGAAAAATAGCAGGACAAAAAATACTTTAATCGCAATGAGGTTTTCTCTGTCAAAATAATAATGATTTAAGTGTTTTATGTGTTCCTGACAAAAAGTTGCGGTTTCATCTGATTTTCTATGTACCGGGTCAAATAAATCCGGACATGCAACAATGAAGAACAACAATTTTGAAAGGGACGCCATCATACAAGAATCAAATAGTAATGGAGTTTATATGTTCATGAATCAATTTTTAGCTTGATATAACATGCTTTGGATGAATAAATGAATACTTATGTTAAAAAGTCATGAAAAGCTAACGGTTACCATCAGTATTTCTAACTAACTAACTAACTATGATCTCCCTTATTGGTACCTGCCATAGTTCCATGACAATTAAGCCTTTCTTGTACTGAAATCTATAGCATGCTAGAAACTTCAAAGCAACTAGGTAAATTTTGTTACATTTTGATGAAGATTTCAAGTGTACATATCCACGTGACGTAACAAACATTCGTGATAAGATTGCTTACAGAAACCACTGCGATCATAATCAACGCACACACTTAATCATATATTCCTTCACGAATTGTTTGATTACACATAGGAGCAGGTCTTTGCTTTTGTTCATTTCATTTAACATAACAAGTTTGCTAAAACCATTCAACAAACACAAAGCGTAACATTTTGGTTATCGATTATCATCAGTTGTTGACACGAAATGGTTCGCTTTAACAGAGACTAGGGCAAATGACAGATTTTGCAAAAAGTGAGAGCAGATTTCACTCTCAGCAATACGTTGGGGTTTATCAGGTACAGTTTGTTTTCGCCCCTGAGTAATAAGTATTGCAAAAAGAAATGGGTGGATGAAATGTGTGGATGAAATCTCCACAGCCAAAAAAGTGTTGCAAAGATGACGTCAGATTTAGACACAACATCTTTAGACTTTTAGAAACAACATCATCCGAGCTGAAGTAAAAGTGAAGTAACAAAGCAGACGAACAGATGAGCCAGTTAAATGAGCATCACGATCCTTGTTAGATCTGAAAACCTATTATTGAAATAAAATTTTTATTCACATCACAGTCAATATTATGCGGAAACCTTTTTAAAGAAGGAGTCCTCAAATGACCACAGAGAAAGAATGGAGGCTTGAGGGACAACGGTACATGACTTCACTCATCGGATGAATGCTTCAGCAATAATTGCATTGATATATTCAAATCTTTATATCAACTTTAATTTTCTAACTATGAATATAGTCAAGAAAAAATAAATAAGAATTACTTTTAAGATTATAATTTAGCTTTCCTCCTGAAAATATGAGGAAATGAGGCGCTCAGTAATACTATTAGAAGCACAGCACGGGGGCTTAGTGACTTGAAAAAGTTTGTATGTGATAAGCTAAATGTCTTCAATCTAAGCCAATTAAAGGCTGCAGATGTTTCCATGCTTTTCATGTGTAGACAAACTTCATTAGTGAGCATTAGTCGGCCTAAAAATTTCGTTTTTGATAACATGCAGTTTGTTTTTGCTGTATCCAATTACAATTTGATTGTTATGGCTTTCAAAGGCGACCTTTTTTCTTCTGTTTTCTGGTGAAATCAGGTCAGGCACTTAGAATTGAACTGAAGCTCTTGGAGGATTCCATGTGTGAGGCTAGTCTAAGCACAAGATTCAAAAGTTTAAGCTTGTCTGTGAAGCCAACTTTGGATCTGCACAACAAAGAAAAGGATTACCAGCTTCATTTTCCTCTCCATTCTAAAAAAAATTCTTTTGTATGCAACCGTCAGTAAAAGTCTTCCATTCATTTTAGTTTAAAAACGTTTGAAGGTGCATCTAAGACAGCCAAGGAGGGGGCACATGGAATATTTCAATGCTATAGTTAGAAGTAAACAGAGTAAAGACAAACACTAACTAAAATTAACAAGGGAGGCTGAGCCCCCAAGCCTCATTCTCCGCACCACTGCTTTGTAGGAAAGCAGAACCTCATCATCACCATTCTATGGAAAATTTCAAGCAACCTGATACTCACATAAGCAACTGTTCATGCTAAAATGTTTTCAAATTGATGTTGATTTTATCCAGGCACCGCACACCAGTCTAAAAGTGGGGGGGGGGGACTAAAAAGAAAGGAACCAAATTTTTTAGTACACCGGAAAACGCCCTCTAGTACACCGGAAAACGCCCCTTTTAGGAAGTATTTGCTTATTTACACTGATTATTTATAAACAGTCTGATTCAGAAAAGATATCAATAACAATGAAATAAGATAAAGTTAGCTTGAGGATAATAGAACCCATGCTAACCGGGTGTATCATGTCATTAAACAAGACAAAACACCTAGAAAATGAACAAAAAAGGATTCCCAGCCAAGAAGTACGCTACTACTTAAAATCTCCTAGGATAAAGCTTCCAAAGTTGCGTTAGAATAACCTTTCTAAAATGTTTAACCTATTACACGCTTTTTTTATAGGGAACCACTTTATAAGGAACCTACATCTAGAAGGCCGAAATATTTAAAAAACTTATACTACTGAAAACGAAATCTCTAAGGAACTTCTCGATTTGAAAATTTTTTATAACTGCAAGTATCAAGAACTAAAAAGTTGGTTGCATTCATTTGCAGTCAATACTCGCATAGATTGTTTGCTATTCGTGTGTCAAGTGCTTCATTGAGTAATCTCGGCATATGCTGTCTCGCCCCTCTCTCTATTAAGTGTAAAGGCTTATTTAGTCAAAACAAATTAAGGAACTATTAAGGAACCTTTGGTACTACAATTTGATGATTTGAGGTCTACGAATAAGGAACTTTTGGAACTAGGCCTCAAGGTAGGTTCCTTATAGAAAAGCGTGTAGTGCAAAAATGCGAGGGGGGAGGGGGGGGCTATAGCCACTGCTAGCTCAATGGCTGCGCGGTGTCTGTTGTTATCGTTTCAAAGATAACTTCTCAAGGCCTTTGAGAAACCATCTATTGGATTAGTATACACATATTTTAAACATTAGCTCTTTTGTTATTCATATGTTTATGTCTGTTTGGCTGTATCATGACGTAAAAATTTAAAAACTCAAGAGGAAAATCACTCCATAAAAATCTCGTATATCATAAAGATTTAAAAAAAATTCCCTCAAAATTCTTTAGTTTATTGAAATGTTTCCGATTTTAATAAGACTCATTTGCCCTTCGGAAAAAATTCATTACGGGGTCAAGAACATCCGTTATTATTCACTGCTCAAGGCAATTCTGAGTCTCCTATAGGCCTTTCATACTAAATAATACACTAATATTATACTATCAATTACAGTATATTACATGAGGGATCTCTAAAGGTATAAAGAAGATCGTTTTTGCATCAACAAAGCAAATGGTAACAAAACGTCTGAGCTAACATTTTTCGAATTCCCGACCCTTTTTAGTTGGTAACCTTTTGCAGTTCTTGACTTTACAATTGACTTGACTTGACTGTAACTGGAAATGAACAGCTTCCTGAAACCGGGGTTTTCCACGTCTGATACTTTTTTCAATCCCCTGAGCGTTTGTCCGGGAGAATTTTTCTTTGCAATGACGTCAAAAACACTATTCAGAGAACGTTGATATCACCAAGTATTTAAAGCCTTGGGAAATATAGAGATCTGAAGCGTAGGCTAAGACGCAAGTCGGAAAGTAGGTTTGCCAAGGGAAAATTAAGGATTTTTAACAGAAGATTTTGCAAATGAGCTCTTTTACTTTGCAAAAAGGTGGGGAGGAGCAAAGGTCTCGATGGAGCTGGCATTTGGACATGGCTAAATCAGAGTCAGGAAAACATTACGGCCGCACGGCCACTGACCGGAGGAAGGTCGATGAAAAACAATAGAAGCTCCTATGACACACCAAAGCCACGCCCACTTTTTATCATTTTGTGAGGAAGGTTTGTCTTCTGGGATGTTTATGTCTGGAGGAAGGTTAACAACTTTTCTGGACTCTGGGCTAAATACAAGCATGATAAAGAAGATACTGCTTTTTAAAGCGTGGAACTAAATGTTGGTATTGCGTTTAGGACTTGGGTATTATTGCTACCAAGCAAATATTGAGACATGGGAAATATTAAGTATAATCTGAAACGAATCATGTGTGATATGTATCACACTAAATTTGTATTGGCGTGAAATCTCAAAGAACCTAGAGACCTATAGAAGCTAAAAAGTACGAAGAACATTTCTTTTCTATAAACATTAAATTTTAAAGCATAGGATTAGGAAGTCTTGCAAATTTGACCTTCTTAAATTTCTCAAGGTATCTTGAACACCCTAAAGAGTCACAAAAGAAAAAAATTTCCTGCTTGAACTGCAATATTGAAAACGAGCCTCTCTTCTTTCAAGACTTCCTTAAATCACGACAACAGCAGATTCTTTGAAATTTTCCGCAAAATCTGGTGCTTTCAGGGGGCAATCCACTGCCCCAGACACCGCTCCCTTTTTTCAATGTGAGGTTCCCTTTCTTCTTTAATTTTTCATGAAATCCCAGAGTCAAACTTCTTTATCTTAAACTCTTTATTAGACATATACGAATGAACAAACGCACTCAACGCTTTCTTAGATATACAAACGGGAATTGAATACGCCTTAACGCAAATATACGACGATTTTCAAGATGCTTTACGTCAAACAGCTTTGTTTTTTGCTGGTATTTCCAATCAAAACACAAGAGCATCTTTAATGCAAAATGCTCTATTTGCAAAGTTATATTCACGATCACTTCTTACTGTTTACAAAGGCAACGCGTCAGAAATGGGAGGGCTCGTGCACACGATTCAGCGAGATAAACACGCAACTCGAAAAGCGTAATCACCATTTGTAGCAATGTGTAAAAGTAATCAAACGGTGCCGGGATAGGAGGAGAACATGCTGTATTTGTTGAATTGGTTTACAAATTCTGTGCCTTTGTGTATAGTCCTATACTAGATGCGGGTAAATAACGGGAACAGATGCCACAAACCAATCGTTTTTATTACAAGGAGCATGCAACCTTATGTAAAAAAACACATCTGACAGGATGCTCTTAACTATGATACTACACAGCGGCAAAACGGAGGCATCTAGAGCCCGAAGGAAAATACTGAGGCCTGGGGCCCCTTTTTACAGTCTGCAAGAATGCCCCATCCAAGGGTGTAGACAATTTCAAATGCAAAAGATGTAAAATGATAATTGTTTTCGTTAACAAGAGGGAGCTGAGTTATAAAAGCTTCAGCTGGAGAGCTTTAAAGTTTTTGAAAATAAGTTGAGCGAAATCTTAATTATTTGATTATCGAATCGAGCTAGGGTGCCCTAAACTGCGTTACGCCACTGATACTACACTCTTCTCTATAAGAAACTGAGCTGGAGAATGGCACTAATTTTTTTATTTTGGCTGTTAATTCCTGTGCTGAAATTTCTAAATACCACGTGCTAAAGAGGTGCCTTTTAAGAGCACAGAAACATAACATGATACAAAGTGAAATAAAACAAAATTCTAAAATTAGATTTTCATGTGACGTCACACTTTCGAACGCTACGATTGAGTCAATTTCTCAGTTTGTTTACCGACAGTTTACGGAAGGGGTTTCAATCTAAACGTTTTTTGTATCCTTCATCGTTAATTTTGAATAAACATTCCCAATAAGCAGCTGAAATAATTTTGAACAATAAAACTTAGATAACTTTTAGCTTTTGTATGGCCCATTTGAAAATGACATTAGGGAAGATCTTATTAAATTTAGTCCGTGTTAATCCCGTAACACTGCACCTCCCGTTATTAGATCGAACCCACCATGGAAACAAATGAAGGTAAAAGTCCTGCCCAAACCTGCCTTCCATTCAAAAAAGAGACTTAAAACCATATTATACGAATGATAACTTAATTATTGAACTGGGGAGCTTTACATATTGTTTTTGGTAGACGGTTTTTGCAAGGTATAAGCGCCATTAATCGATCCAGTCTGAGGCGCGTGTGGAAGCTGTAGTACAGTGTGTTTTGAAAAGCTGCCTTCTTACTGGGTTAAATATGGAAATCGACTCATAGACTGATGAGTCATGCTCTCTACTGTGTTGTATACAATTGTACGTGGTTTAATTAATGAAACTCCTTGCAATATGCTCCTAGTACACAATACGGTATAATTACTATTATTGTTATTACCATCCCTATATCATGACATCATAGCTTCGTTGGGTCTATCTTTCATTCCTTTTTGCTTAATAACAGCAAGAGCAACCAATCAATATTATGATCATGTGAATCACAAATACTAATCGCTTCAATCATAACCATTAAGATTACTGGAATCATCCATATCATTATGTCCAACCACACACACAAACAATTTCGTATAATCAGTTTGTCACGATTATCCTTTAAAAATTCAACATACGGCTGGGATTATCTTAAACTTACATAAAGTAATTCTGCAAATTGACATAACTTATGCATAACAGATTTGAAAAAAATGATAATACTTTAAGAATATATAAAGGCTCAAAACGAAAATTCCTTAAGAATATCGAGGCTGGAAAAAATTTAAAATATTCTTATTCATAAAAAACCATAAAAATTTTTTCGCCACGATAATGACTTTTGTTATTTCTAAGATTGTGGATTTACTACCAAAAACAGCCAATAAAACTTCATTTACATAAGGAGCAACAAACTGAGCAGGCCAAAACATATATTCGTTTCATTTATTCAGCTACTAATGATATGATCTAACCAGCTCTGAAGATCCTGACCAACACTGCTTATGATTATTATGTTTGCCGTCTCGCAAGGAAGGAACGTCTCAATTAAAATCAGGATATAATTACGTACTGTAATCCCTATGTCTTGTAAGATATCTGATTGATCCTAGTATACTATGAAACATTAGGAAAGCTTACAAAGGAAGAAAATTATTCACTTAGATTTGAGGCTTTTTGCCCAAATAAGAATGAGTCCTTGGATGATAGCCAAAAGGTGACTCAGTTTATATTCAGCGTGGTTTCAGGCTAGCCAATAAAAAAGAATACATACTTCTTCAATACATTTCTATTCACAGCTAATTATGTTGCTGTTATTACACTTGTATTCATCCCACTTCGTATTTCCCAGACCAGCAGCGCCTTATCGCCAAACTCATTACATGATTGTTTAACTTAATCAGATTTTCCAGCCCGCTGACTTCCCTGCCACCTTTAAAAAGCTTTTTCTCTATCACATTTCAGTTCTACAAGACAATGAGAACAAATCGAGGACTCTCAAAAGCATACGAGTGTGAAGACACCTTGCAATTTCTGGACGAGACATTAACAAGTTACAAGCAGATGCTAAACAAAGAAAACGCGATTAGCAGAAGTAATCGTGCATTTCCAAGAGATAGCTGCACTGATAACAGTGAAAAACAGGACGGAAATTCATCAGATAGCAGTCGAAAGGAAATCGCGTTCAAGAACTGGTTACAGACAGTGTTGACTGGTAGTTGTTCGAGAGAAGTCATGGATTCAGGACATTCCATAACATGCGAAACTAGCCCCTATCATACATGCAGACATGATCTTCAGAAGTGCGGCTTCAGGACAGAGCTTGATTGTACTAATGGCTGCAGAAGAAAGACTGAAACTTTTCCAGCTTCGTTTTTCACTGAATGCAACTTAGGAAAGCCGGATGAAAGGCGATTTTGCGAACCGCTAAAATCTCCTTGTCATTCTTATTCATTAAAAAATAACTACGAATCATCCACTATTTCAAGCTCTTATTCTTTCAACGAAGAGGAGCACGAAAATTCAGCTGACGATGTTTTCGGTTCGATCTATGACAGCAAATTTTGTGGATTTCAGTACGAGATGGGTAAATCAGAATCGGGTGCTTGTAAAACTCGGAATGGATCATGGTCAGATTCTGGATACTGTTGCGATAAATCTGACTCTGACAACAGCAGATTCAGCAGTCTGTCTTTTGGTGATAGCCAAAAGCTTAAAAACGATAATAATATAGATTCCTGTTATTCTGAATTTTCGAAACAAACCGATGACCAGATGATTGAAAAGAAAATTGCAGAACTTTCTGAAACCATACAGCGTATGAGTTTCAACGGCGAATTGAAGGACGCTGCAGAATTGAACGAACAAGTATTCGATCCTGAGCTTTACACTGCCGAGGAACTGGATATATTACAAAAACTACTGAAAAACCCCGAAAATTCTCACGAAACAACGAAAGAACTTTCGGACATTGGCCGGGATATCTCATCAAACGGGTGGAAAAGAAGACACGCAAAAGCAAAACAGACGATTGGTCAGTTTTTCCGAAAATTTGTCGGAGGAATCCGAAAGTTTTCGTCAGAAAAACAAGATTCGAAAACGGAGAAAACGGATTCTCGTTACTCAATGGACAGCTGCAGAGAGGTATCATCGAAATTGAAAAAAAGATCAAAAACAAGAAACCGCTCACGTTCGCTGAGTCCATTTCTGAAAAACCGACGCTCTTCAGCTGTGAAAACACCAAAGAAAAAGTTTTCTCTGTCAAAAAAAGGCAATAAGAAAATTCAACGCGCAAGCAGCTACTCCTCGTTATTCGGACGACGAGGCAGTTTGTTTTCGCATTACGAGCAAAGTGACAATATCCAACGTGCAAGAAGATCAGTAAGCTTCAACGCTCTGCATACGCAGGGACTTGATTTCTTCTATGAAGAACCAAAAGCAAAATTCGTGGACCAACAAAGCGAAGATGTGACGTTTCTCGATGTCATTGATTACTGCTACTCGTGTAGAATGTGTTCGTGTGATTGTTGCGACCAGATTTGCCCCTGCGAACAGTCTGCAGATTTGAGTTTTCATTTGAAAAATGAGGATTATGTTACAGAGCAACAACTAGTACCACCTCTCAGTATAAACGTTAGCGAGGAAAGATCAGCTTTCACAAGAAGAATCACAAAGTTAAGAGACAGTTCGTGACTTTGTTGAAAGACAGTAATATAAAACGAAATTGATTTTGAATAGCCAGAGTTGAATAGTAATTTTTGTGAATTTGTAAATACAACTGTTGTTTTTAAAGAATTTGTTTATTTTGTTGATTTTTAAATGCGACAAATATTTAGTGGAACAAGATACGGTATTAAATGCAATTAAGAAGACTTGTCACCACGATTTTTCACAAAAATCAAATTAAGGGTTCGACTGAAAGGCTATGTTTGAAATGATTTAAATTTATATGATTGAGCTTAAGAAATTTTGTCTTTTGTTGCACAACACCTATGTTCCGTTCTTTAGAATCTTAATAATTTCCAAGAATATATGTTAAGCAGAATAATTTTTATCAGAAATAACAAAGATTCAAAATTACATGGTGATTCATATCAAACTGGATTCGATGAAAAATCTTATTCGGTATTATACCTGAAATGAATTTAAATGGGACACAGTAGCAAGGTTGACTTCGCAGCATTAACAGATATCGGCTCTCAAAACAGAGTTTTAAAACACTCTCGTGAATTTAAAACAGCTCAAATCTGTTTTTTCTGTCTACCAAATTTTAACTTTCGTAAGAAAGATGCTCTTTGCAAACTGCATATGACTCTGCTGAGCATCATAACGATTTCAGGCCTAAGGCCTAAGAAGTGTCAGTGCTAAAAACGCAACTACTGCTGCATACAGAATTCTACCTTATCGATGCTAGCTCAAAAATCTAGAAAAACTCATATTTAAAACTTACCACGAATACAGAGATAAATCCTTTTTGAAAAAATATATTCTAGCATCCATCATAACGTGAGGAATGCAACAATTCTTCGTACGTTGGAGAACGGTCTTCCATCTTGGAAAATTCAAAAAGAGGCGGGACTCTCAGGGTTTAGGCTGCGCAGGGACACCTAAAACACTACCACAAAATCCTTACTTTATGATGTATTTTTAAACCATAAGTGAATTCATATTAGTATTTTGTGTGAAAACAAAAATATAATTTCTCAAGAGTTTTTTTGATTAACCAACAAATACTTTTTAGCAAACCACCGAAGTTTTTCAACCAATCATGAAAGTGAAACAGGAATATTATAATCAAAAAATGTACCGGAATTATTGGGTTCTGTAAATCAAACTTGGATAAGTTTCATTGGAAAATGTCTATGATACTTTGAATGACTGGTTTTTTAAAACAACATTTGCCTTCAAAGGTGTCTAGCAAAACAAGAATAGAGCTAGAGCAATGTAAAGTTTTCATTGTTTACATCTGTTGATTTTTCAGGACGTCTAAGCCTCTTCATTATAAAAAGTCTGAATCAAGATGGCTTTAAATGACCAAAGCTGATCAAGCATATTTCTAAGCAAAAAGGTCGCTGGTTGCGTGCAAGCATCCACTTCTTTAATAAATTATGTACTGGTCAAATGTTTACAAATCTATTGAAAATTTATGTAAACAAAACACAACAGATTGTGCATCTTCACAAACGAGCACTTGTTTTGGTTACCAAATTCCTTCTTCTTCAACTTCTTTTGCCTTCAAGAGGTAGGATGGCTGTGTTTACTTTCCTTGTTTAAAATTTGTAAGGCCTTGCTAAGCTGGAGCCAGTCAGCTAACAAACATAATGAAGAAAAGCTAGCGCTTTTGATATCATTTTTCACTGGTACTAGGCAATGGATAGGACATCCAACAATTCATGTGATTATATAGCCTTGTCCAAAGACTAAAAGGATTGCAATTCTAAATGATGCATAGACTGGACAATATTTTGGCTGTTGAACGACAATAGGTGGCAAGATAAAACGCATGCTCCCTGTTAATTTCAAATAAAGACTAGTGAAAGGAGCAACTGCTACATTTACCGAGTTATAATCAAAAGACTTGTCTTTTCAAAGATATATTTATACTTTCCTTTCACTGTAACACTAGCTGAAGGCACAGACAATTCTTATATCATAAAGAATATCATCTAAAAGTCGTAGTAATTTCAAACTTCTAGAAATCATCTGACTACTACATTTCAAGCATTTATCTCATCATTTATCTAATTCAAGTATTTATCAGTTAATTACGTAAAATTGCAACAAATCTATCTACCCTACCAAGACCTTTATGGCTTCCAGGTCAAGCTTCTGGAATCATGTTTATGAAAAGTGGAGGGGTGGGGCTCGGAAACCGAAATCCCCCAATTCACAATTCCTATAAATATCGGTATGTAAAGCTATAGTTTTGCAAGGAATAAGCTCATAGAAGCAAAACCATGAATACTTTTCAAAAGCAACTGCAACATATAGGAAATCAAACATGGGGTTTCTGTCGGAAATTCTCAAAATTGAAAAGGTGAAATTTGAAGTTTTTCTGTTCAGGATGCAACCCTGTCCTTTCGCTATCGACCCTTCAACAGCTGTAATAACATTTGTAACCAGTCCGGCTTACAAAAAATTCCCAACTGTCACTTGGTTCTATCATTCATATGTATATGCTTAACAAATATTTCAACCACTAACTTATATAACAAAGAAGTGTTATTTGCTTCTTTGCTGCGAGCAAACTACAGGCTTACTTGAGGAAACTATTATGGATTTCTTTTGTAGATCAACTCTCAGGCAAAATCTCATAAAGCACATTATATCTTATTAGAGGAAGAACGTTTTGCTTAAAAAAGGTGCTGCAAAATGAGTCCATTTTCATGCAATAATTCTCAGAAGCCTTCATACACACTTTACAAGCAAATATCTTTCATCATTAGAAATTCTTCTTTCTAAGAAAGTGTTTTTCTCCGTTATCATAACCTGCCACACAAACAATACATCTTTTTATTACAGCCATTAAGGTATATCAATTTGGGTATTTAAGCCAAGATTCAGAGAATCAATCAAGTATACAATATACCAATACCACAAAGTAGTGTTTTTTTAAAAACAACTCATAACACAGATTGCTTGAAGCAATTGATAGAAGAATAGGCATTTAAAAGTGTAGGCTTGCGGAACAATAAAAGAGGCGGGCAGGTTTCCTGCCTAGCAGCACTGCCCACTCTTTGGTTCATGCATCAATCTCTGCAGCAAGCGGTTCATTGAGGAATATTTCTCGTGATGACTGTGGGAATGTGTGGGAGTTTGGCACAGGTTCTAGCTAATATCGATTATTTTAGAAAAACCATGAAATCGGAGGTAAAAATTAATTGGTTTAAGAGCTTAAACAACAGCTTATGCAGGATTAGAAGTGTCCTTGTTATTCCATTGTATTTGTAATTTCAAATAGCATTTTCTTTGTAAAACAGATTACCTACCATTGCCTTACATGGGCAACATAGGAGACGGTTCAATTTCTTTGCAAAACGCCGGGTGTACAATTATTGTGGGAATCTGAAAGAGTTGAATGTATGCCAGTATTCTTTCTTCTGTAGTTTAATTAGAAAGAACTCCTCTTGCTGCACCTAGGTAACTAAGTAAACTAAATAGGTAAATTACAAGACTTTGTTTTGTTTTGTAGGACCTAACTCTTAAAGTAGCAAAAAGCCTTACTAGTAGATACCACTGGGGTAAAAGCGAGAATGATATTTCAAGATATGGTTCATGATGATTCGATATGTTATTGAATGCACTGGTATTGAAATCACGAGATTTTTGTAAATGGAGTTAATATTATAGATATTTAAAAATTTATTTAAATATTCTGTTAAAGTTGACTTTGCTTATTGTCAAAGTCGCACTACAGTTTAGAGTCAAATAGAACTTAGGCCCAAGTAAGAAGAGCTGTTCAAATTAGCTCCATTTACAGTCACAATCCGCTTAATGAGAAAGCTTTTAAGCAACATATGGTGCGACCAAAACCTGAGAATACTTGTTTAATATTGTGGAAACATTGGAGGATTTGAAACCAGGCAGCTGTATCATTGGAGTATGATGAAGAGCATAAGGCCCACAGCAACATGTTATTCATTTAAATATAGGCCACATCTTGTTGTCTACATCTTCCCTCCATGCTCCTAGCCCTCAGCCCTCCAAACCACAAACATCTATTTAAGACACTTTTAGAGACGTCATTTTTTAAAGATAGTTTGATTGCCATTCGAAAATGGAAGCATAAGTAGAAGAGAAGCGAGGAAGGAAAATTTAATGTGTATTTCATTAGTACATTCTTTTGGCACAATGTCACTGGGTTTTGAATGCTTCATAAAGTGATGCCAGAGCAGAGTCCTCAGGAAAAATTAGGCAATTTTCTTCAATTTGCTATTTCACCCATTTTTGTTTTCTGCCCCCTGCCCTGCAGCTCTTTCATAATTTCTGGGCTCATCAAACTATCGACCTCATTCTGAGAAGCCATAATCGTGCTCGTAGAGTAAATTATTTTATTGTAAAATAAACTGCAAAGTTAGTCTACAAATAAACAATGCAGTTTGTAATTGGAATTATTTGGAACTCAGCTCAGTTCACTCAAATTTCCATTCTCAACAAAGATATTTAATTACAGCAGTAAATACTCAAAGGGCATATGTCGCACTAGCAGTTGGCTAATACAACAAAAGTTTTTGGAACTGAATTCCATTGTTTCGTGACTTTTCATATCTGCCTCTTGAAATTCTACTACCTTCAAAATTCATCTTCGTTTTCATGTCTTATGCTTAGCAAAAAGATAATTGTATTTCGTTAGCCAATCAAGTTCACGACAAATGCCCTTTGGAGGGACTACTTAGATTTTAATTAATGTTAAGGGACAGACAGAAAGAACTCTTGAAAAGCTATCAAACTTAGATTTAAATCCGGTTGTCCCTTAAGTTGGGTTTTTGATGTGATTACATGGTTTGTAACAATAATTTAAAAGCAACACATAAAATATTTATTATGTAAAATATACTTATGGAAACCTTTCATTTTTAACTCCAGTTAAAACTACAATTGCAAATTTCTATATTGCATAAGTAATTTGTAACTGACTCTAGCCTGTTTTCTCAAAATGAAACTATTACAATCAAAGTGATAAAAAGAAAAGATCAAGAACAAAGAATAAAAAGAAGTAGCTTTGGGTTGGTCCAAGTTTGTTTTCTACTGCGGAATATGTAGCATGTGGTACGAATGGAGGTTGCTTGGCAGTTTTGAGGTGAGATAATTTTTCTGTTGATCACCAATAACATGATCAACAGATTATATCGTCAATTTTAAAGTAAATCGATTAGATGCATATAAATGTTGAATTATTATGAAAAGTCAAATCCTTTGAAAATCAGTTAGTCAGTAGGTATTTTTCTGTGAAATGATGGCTTGTTATAAATTTGTTTATTACTTTCAGTAGTTTTTTTAAAGTGCTCACATTGGAGCCAGAACATGGACTATCAGTTCATTTACCATGCTGTGCAAAGATTAAATCTTTTCAATGTTTTAGGGCTATTCTTTATGTTGAAAGAACGGCTCGTGCTGTCTTGCTGCCCAATCAATGATAAATCAAGCTGTCCATTCTGCTTAAGCAGAGATATGGCGGGAAATATGGCGTCAAATTTTCCTGGGCAAATCATTGCTCTAACAATCTCGGTATCTAGTGAACAAAAGGGAGCGTGACTCAAAAATCTGTGTTTTGAATAGCTTATTTACTTGCTTAATTACCGGGACAATAGGATCATAAATCTATGCATTCTTGTGTTATTACAAGCTTGAGTTAGTCATATGTAAATAAAGATATAACAGTGGATCAAGGAGGCAATAACATGATGGCTGAATCAACTGCCTTATCACCTATGGCCTATTGATCACCTCTGTCCGTTGACCCACCTGTTCTATTGTTTTTAATGATAACGGAACGCCTCCAATTGTGTTCTTGTCTATCTTCATTCAACAAAGCGTGAAAAAGCACCAT